CTGCGCTTCCGCGTGCGTCACTTCTGAGCGGCGCATGCGCAAAGCTGACCTCATACGTCATCCGACCGGAACTGCTTCCGTGTACAACAGTGAGCGCAAGCAACATTTAAAGTGATTATTACGTTTTGAATATGGATATTTTTCTTACAAAAACGCATCGATTCGCTACAGGAGGCCTTTGTTCACCCCCCAGAGCCGTGTGAGACACTTTATTTTTTTAATGGATGGGCGATTTTTATTTAACTGCTTTTGGACTGATGCATGCAACACCCGCTGAGTGGCATGAAACAGCTTGAAAGATCAAAGACAATTTTTAATATAACTCCGACTGGATTCATCTGAAAGAAGAAAGTCATATACACCTAGGATGACTTGAGGGTGAGTAATTTATGGGCTAATTTTCATTTTTGGGTGAACTAACCCTTTAAAACATTAAATTATAGATCATCAAGAGAAAATTAATTAAAAAAGTTTCTTATATGCTTTAAAGGGATCCCATAATAAACATACATAAATACATAACAGTAAACATATAAACTGTTTTTGGCACCCATTTCTTTACTTGTAGTTATGATTGTGAAAGGTACTTACTGGTTAAATGATTGGAATGATAACAAATTTTTATCTATTTAACAAAAATTTATCAATTTAAATTGATAATAATAAACATTTCTTGAGCACCAAATCAGCATATTGCAATGATTTCTAAAGGATCATGTGACACTAAAGACTGGAGTAATGATGCTGAAAATACAGCTTATACATATACATTTTAAAATATATTAAAATATAACAATTATTTTAAATTGTAATATTGTAAAACTGAATAATATTTGACAATAGTACTGTATTTCTGATTCAATGAATGCAGCCTTGGTGAGCATAAGAGATTTCTGTCAAAAACAATTTTAAAATCATAATTATTACAAACTTTTAGCCTCTAGTGTATATTTTCATTGTCATTGGTCATAGGCATGTTTCATTTTTTTCCCCCTGATAATCCATAGCAATCCTTCCATTGTGAAATGAGGGATAAGAAAAATCATCTTGCCACTGGAGAATCTACACATCAGAGACACAAGCTGCACTGATTAATACTGCTTTCAATTGTCTGGGTGGGTGGGAGTGTGGGTGGCTTTACTTAGCTGTACTTAGGGGACAAAACTGTCAGCAGAAGTTAACTAAATCTGACAAATTCCCTGTGGAGACATATGTGAAGGTCATCAAAAGTCAAAAATTATTAATATTGTAAAAATGCCAAAACGTTCATTTAGGTTTGAGTTTAGGTTAGCAACTGTAACCAGCTTTATAAAAACCTATGGCATATGTTAATTTAGGTTGAATATGTGTGGTTCAGGATGTCTGCGGCCTCTACGGCTGATGTATGTCTTGAAGCGGCACCTCGTTAGACCTCCAGCACTGTGATTCAACGTGCAATTATGCTGCAAACTAATTCTGCACCAATCAATTCCGCTATTGATTAGTGATTGATCTGATGTTTACTTGTGAAAACAAAGCAAGAATATAATTTAACAGCTCTTTGTCACTCCCACAGGATCAGTTTATTAAAAATGGAAAATGTAATTATGATGGATGACCACATTCATTTGTGAAATATATCTGCCCTCTGACTGTTTTTACTCTCTCCTTCTTCCCCTCTTTTACTTTTTTGTTCTCTCTTTCTCTCTCTCAGGCGATATGAAATTAGTCCAGTGTGCACCGACCTTCAGGGGCAGATTCTGAAGTGCTACAGAGAAAATGCTGGAAAAACTCTGCTGTGCTCCAACATCGCCTCTCGATACATGCAGTGTGTCAACAGTGCAAAACAGGTAAATATTTGAGTGTGTGTCTGTTTATGCCTGATATTTTCACCATTAGATAGTTGTAGTTTAGTTGAATCAGATAAAAAATATCTGTGTAACAAGGTTTTTTTTTGTGTACTGTTTGTGTACTGTGTACTGTAAGTTTAAGAAGAGATTAAGTGTAATATTTTCCAGAAATTTCCAGTTTTTAATAAATTAGAATATATATTATAATTAATACTATTATAATTTATTT